GATGGAGGATTGCAGACTGAATGAACTTAATACTGTGGGTAGATCCTATACATGGACAAACAACCATGTCTATAGCAGAATTAACAGACCCATTGTTAATGCACACTAGATAATGAACATGCCACAAATGTAAGTTAATGTGATGGATCCTCAATTTTCTGATCACTCTCCATTGTGTATAGAGCTGGAATAAAAAATGGAACCTAAAGGGAAACCTTTCAAGTTTTTCAACTGCCTAGCTGATCATCCAGATTTTAAAAATATAATTATAGATATATGGGACAAGGATAACAGGAATATGAAAGGTATCTGGTACAATTTGAAGAATGTCAAAGCGGCTCTTAAAAGTCTGAACAGAAAGGAGTTTGCCAGTACAAGCAAGGTGCAACATCTAAGGAAAACTTTAGCTAACATACAACCTTAGATGAGAACCACTACAACAACTGAAGACATGTTTGAAACAGAGAGAAACACAAAGCAACCATTGGAAAAATGGAGCAAGATAGATGAGAGCATATACAGACAAAGATCTAGAATTCAATGGCTCCAATTGGGAGACTCCAATACAGCCTTTTTCTTTGCAAGCATGAAAGGCAGAGTAGCACAGAATCAACTCAAATTCCTAATAGCTGAAGATGGTAGATTGATCAACACTCCAGAAGATATTGAGCAAGAAGTAGTGGGGTTCTATAAAGGATTTCTAGGAAGATCAACTAATAGCATACATGCTATTAATCCTAGTATAATGAGGAAAGGACCAGGACTTACAAGATCTCATCAGTTACAACTTATTACTCATTTCACTAAAGAAGATGTGTTGCAAGGACTGCAGGGGATATGAGATTCTAAGGTACCAGGTGGGGATGACTTTAATGCATATTTCTACCAAAAGACTTGGCACATAGTTGGTGAGGATATTACACAACCTGTGTTGAAATTTTTTGATGAAGGATTAATGTACAAGCCAGTAAACAATACATCAGTTACTTTGATCCCTAAAGTGAAGAGCCCCTCTTCTATCAAGCAGTTCAGGCCAATATCCTGTTGTACTATTATATACAAGATTATTTCCAAAATGCTCACAAGCAGGCTACAACCAGTAATGGGATCCCTAGTAGATATGAGTCAAGCAACATTTGTACCAGGTAGAGTGTTGAATGATAATATTCAATTGGGGCATGAGCTTGTTAAATGTTACGGGAGAAAAGGTGTATCACCCAGATGTATGGTCAAGATTGATATGCAGAAAGCGTATGATTCTATAGAATGGAGTTTTCTTGAGCAAGTTCTCACAGAAATGAATATTTCAGGATAGTTTCTCTCATGGATCATGACATGTGTCACTATAGTGTCCTATTCTATAGTTTCAATGGAAAGCCAACAAGTCCTTTTGATGCCAAAAGAGGAGTTAGACAAGGAGACCCATTGTCACCATATCTCTTTGTTCTATCCATGGAGTACCTAACTAGAATTTTAAAGATTCTCAAGGAGAAACCTGATTTTAACTACCATCTCAGGTGTGAGAAGCTGAATATAGTCCAACTCAGTTTTGCAGATGACTTGCTGTTGTTCTGTAGAGGTGATGTGGTATCTATTCAGCTGTTATTGAGTGTTTTGATCAATTTTCCAGATCCTCAGGTCTGATTGCAAACCAAGACAAAAGCTTTATCTACTTTGGAGGGGTCTTAGAGGAAATCCAGCAGCATATCATTCAATGCATAGGATTCTTTATAGGCACTCTACCTTTCAGATATTTAGGGGTTCCATTGAGTACTAAGGGGCTATCTATAACTCAATGACAACCTCTACTAGACAAGATGTTAGTCAGAATCAAGCATTGGACAGTAAAATTTCTATCATATACAGAAAGGTTACAATTGATCAAGAGTGTATTGTTTGCTATTCAATCATTTTGGTCACAAATCTTTCCTCTACCAAAGAAGATTATTCAAGGAATTGAGACAATTTGTAAAAGATTTATCTGGACAGGTGAAGTTGAAAGCAGGGCTAAAGCTTTAGTAGCCTGGAAGCAATTGTGTTGGCCAAAGTCTGCAGGTGATTTGAACATAACAGATATCCTAATATGGAACAGAGCTACTTTAATCAAGCAACTATGAAATCTGAATAAGACGAAGGATCGTTTGTGGATACAGTAGATACACACATACTATATCAAACAACAGGTAATATGGAATATGAATGTAAAGCAAACTTCTTGGCTCACTCGAAAAATTCTTGGTGCTGCAAAATACTTGAATGAAGCAAATATAGGAGTGGAAGAGGTGATGAATATGAAGAGCTATTCCATCAGGTACATATATGATAAACTCAAAGGTGAGTTACCTAAAGTTGAGTGGAAGAGACTAATTTGTAACAATACCAGTAGCCCAAAATGGTTTTTCATCTTGTATTTGGCGATTCTTGGAAGACTATACACGAGGGACAGACTTTTTGGTTGGGGTATAACAGTCAGTTTAGATTGCTTGATATGTGAAAGAACATCAGAGAATCATGATCACCTTTTCTTTAAATGCAATTATTCAACAATATGAAGGAAATTGCTATAATAGCTGGGGATAACAAGAGATGTGAAGAGATACAATGGGCTGTAAGGCATGCAGCAGGCAAGCAACAAATATCCACAATATATAGAATCCTTCTAACCTGCACTGTGTACTACATTTGGAAAGAAAGAAATTGGCGAATATTTCGTGGAAAACAAAGAAGCTGCAAGGAGATGACCATAATAATAGTTCAAGAGGTGCATTGTCGAGGAATTTTGAATTTTAAACTAGTTAGAAAATTACAGGATTTTAATTTTACCCTTAGATTGTTATAGCAAAGTAGTCGTGTAGTAATGAGGACACTAGATTTGGGGTTGTATGTCCAAATCTAAGTGAGTATTTGATAGGGTTGTTACTATACTTGTAAATATTTTCGTGATAATAATAAAATTTAATTACCAAAGTAATGTAGAGGAGATTTTAAGGATGAAGAAACAAAGTACCATTAAGGTCACACACATATTCAGAGAAGGGAATACATTAGTAGACCACCTTGCCAATTATGCTCTAGATGAAGGAAATACTGAATGCCATGGTTTCTGGGATATGGACTCAAAAGGAAGGAGGATTATTAACGAAGATAAGATGCAATGTCCTTACATAAGGGTGAAGGTTGCAAGGAATTAGGAGGACAAGGGGAAGGATCAAAGTCAAAAAAGAGATAAATATGGAGTGGAACATAAGCAAATTGAGGAGGAGAAAAGGACTGGACATAACTGATCAGCAGGGTCCAATCCTATGGGAAGAGATCTTGATGATCTTCTATTATACTAACATTTGGTGTTTTTGTGCAGGAATTGGTAATGTGGAAATAACTTATCATGATTGTCAATTTCAATGGGTGGTGTTAGTACATGGTACTCAATCCCTTGAAAGAGATATCATGATATGGACTAGCAGGGAACATAGGATCAGAATGCCCAGCTCTTTCGCATGGGCCAGTGAAGTTGAAGCTAATGCACAAGTTGTGATACACTTAAAGTATCACAATGCTTATGGCTTTCACTTCTGCAACATTTCGAGACAACCACTGCTAAAGAACAAAAACACTACAATAATCGAGCACAACAAGAAAGGCTAATGGGATTGGAAACACATCCAGCATGGGATGCTCGCGTGGGGTGCTCGCGTGACCGCAATTCCTTGGATATACAACCAACATGCTATACAAGTTTATAATGTCGAGGAGAATCTGGACATTAAACAAAAGCCTAAGCAGCTTTTAGCATATGGAGCTCGCCAGATTACGAGAAGAGATGGATACGAAGGACAATGCAGTTTTTGTTGATTTTAAAATGCATGCATGCTTCATCAAAGACATGGAATCCACGCAGGCGTGCTACAAGATGTTTGGATGCTAGAGAGTACTCGGTCAAGGAGCTACAAGAGAGGGGACCTACAAGAAACAGGTGCAAAAGGATGTCTGGACAGTAATAATGGAGTTTGCACCAGCATTCTTTTGGAAATGCAATGGAAAAGTTTGCAGCACATGGAAAGGTAACTGTTTCCTTTCCACTTTCGTTTGTCCCAATGTTGCAGGCTCGTCTGGTACAATTACAGAAAAGCACTGGTTGTGCAACCAGTATGTTAATTGTTTATTGCTTAAAGTTCTCGATAGTTCAACGAGGCTTTCAACTATTAAACAATAGGGACAGAAAAAAGATTTGAATTAGAAGAATAATGCACGTCTGTTCCTCGTTGCAAGATTTTATTGGGAATCAATTGGAAATTTAAGCATGCAATTCAATTGCGCAACTCCAGAAAATCTGGATTGCAGCACGTCCGTGCACAGGTATGCAAATTAAGGCAGGTTGACTGGACACACGTCTGCCTCATTTGAGACTTTACGCCAGACAAGTCATGGATGCATTTGGAGAACATTCCAGCTCTGTTTTCGATGACAACTGTAATTAAATAATGCCCAGTGATTAAACAATGGCCAATGCACACATTGTCGCGCAGGAACAGGAAGGGCATCGAAGGAAAAATAAAAAATGAACTGGGCTTCGTTTGGACTGAAAGACAATGCGGAACTACTATTCAGTGTTTAATTCATGGGCTACACATGCTTCTCATGAGCTAATTTTATTATACAATGATTAGTAATACCTGTGATATCAAGTTTGGGTGATCTACTCAATTTGATAATAGGGTACATGTATTTTACAAAGTTTATGCTTTACATTTTGTAGGACATCAAGACATTTATATTTCCTTTTTCATTAATAAAAAAATAGGCCAAGCGCTTGCTTAGCGGATTGAAAAAAAAAAAAAATTACCAAAAAGAAATCGTTGAAGGACGGGCCCATGTTTATTAGCCCAAGCAAGACATCCAGTCCATTTCAAAGAAAATCACCGCCCCTCTAATCCAACCAATCTCAACCGTCCAATTTAGGTCAATGAATCCTCGACCACTATATAAATTCTCCATCAGCCTCAACCATCAGTCCGCATAGCAAACCAGCAGTAGGGTTTTTCGTTCTCATTTTCCAGCAAACCCAAAATCTGATTCGAAGAGGTTAAAGTGACAGCGCCGTTGCTGTCCGCCTTGGCTAACTCTAAAACCAGTCTTGGCCCTCGTTTTGTTGTAACACCCACAGATCTCTTCCTTTCACTTTTTAGGGTTTTGTTAGTTCTTCTGTACATTCACATACAGTTAGTTTGTTGCATCACATCTGAAACTTTATCAATGGCACCCAAAGCAACTAAAGCCGAGAAGAAGATCGCTTATGACTCAAAGATGTGCCAACTTTTGGATGAGTACACTCAGGTGCTCGTGGCTGCTGCTGACAACGTTGGATCCACTCAGCTCCAAAACATTAGGAAGGGTTTGAGAGGTGACTCCGTTGTTCTCATGGGAAAGAACACTATGATGAAGAGGACTATTCGAGTCCACGCTGAAAAAACCGGCAACAACACTATCCTCAATCTCATCCCCCTCCTTGTTGTAAGTTTTAGTTTTTAACTATGTCTAGTTTGTTTATATTTTGAATCTGTTGAACAATCTAAAATTATGGTATCTTAGTGTAAGCATGTTCGGAACAGTAGGGGGGGCAAACGGGTGGGTCAGGTTGGATATGAGCGGGTCAAAACAGATAATTAAAAATCTGATAAAACTCGAGCCGTATTTGATATGATAAAAAATGGGTTTATCCGGCAATCCATTTATTCATGGCTTCTTAAATATGATCACTTGTGAGAGAATTCCTTGTCTTCCAAACTTGAGTAACTCCAATTTGAGGCTTTACAAATATAAAAGTTAAACACATTGGTTATCCATTACCTAAGTGGATAATATGGTTCTTTATCCATATTCGACTTGTTTTTAAATGGTTCATTATCCAACCCATTTTTGATGGATAATATGGTTGGATTCGTTTAACCATTTTGGCACCTCTACTCGGAAGTTATTTTTTTTTTGTTTTCTTATTTTTATTCTGGCGTATCTCTTTTAATTTTTTTTTCTGTAGTCAGAGTTCTAATACTTTGGTACTGTTCTTTAACATTCCAGTTAGTTAAATGCCTTGAATAATCATGTAAAGATAATGGAAAGAGCCTATTCCACTCATATGCTCAGTTGCTAAATTAGAATCATGATTTGTCCTTCAGAGTATTGGTAGTACTCAAATAGCTGATTAAATGAACTCAACTTATTTTTAATTTTCGAATAGGGTAACGTGGGATTGATCTTCACCAAGGGTGACTTGAAGGAAGTGAGTGAGGAAGTTGCAAAGTACAAGGTAAATTGACTATATTGCTTCTTTTGTAATCATCTATGTGGTTGTGTGTTTAATGGAATTCATGTTCATCACACTTGATTGGCATTTAAAATGATGAAACTTTGCTTTACATCATTTGCTTTCTATGTGATCCTGAGAACCTGTTTTATTTTGAGATGCATTATATTATGTGTTTTAATGGATTACATTAATTACATTTTGTTGTCAATTTCATATTGGGAGTTTAAATAAATTGGTCATCATTTCATATTGGAAGATCATTGTCAAGGGAATCAATGTGCATTCTTATACAAATTGACGAGGACATTTTTAGTACGACAGATTATTGTCAGTTTAACTGATTCGAAGTTTCATCTCTATTATCATCCAACCTTAATTGTGGTATATGTTATAGGTTGGAGCACCTGCTCGTGTAGGTTTGGTGGCACCAGTTGATGTTGTTGTCCCTCCTGGCAACACTGGACTGGATCCCTCTCAGACATCTTTCTTTCAGGTCTTTATATATTACCCTACAGAATCTTGTTTCTCAGTTATCCTCTGTATATTGTCCTTCCTTACGCAACCATATCCTTGTACAGGTGCTCAACATTCCCACCAAGATTAACAAGGGTACTGTTGAAATTATCACCCCTGTGGAGCTCATCAAGAAGGGTGACAAAGTGGGTTCCTCTGAAGCTGCTCTGCTTGCCAAACTTGGAATCAGGCCCTTCTCATATGGCCTTGTTGTTCTCTCTGTTTATGACAATGGATCTGTCTTCAGTCCTGAGGTTCTTGACCTGACTGAGGATGATCTCATTGAAAAGTTTGCCATGGGAGTTTCTATGGTTACCTCCTTGTCATTGGCCATCTCTTACCCAACTTTGGCTGCTGCACCACACATGTTTACCAATGCCTACAAGAATGTGTTGGCCATTGCTGTTGAGACCGATTATTCTTTCCCTCTGGCTGACAAAGTGAAGGAATACCTGGAGGTATGTTTTCGATGATTGGTTGAATAATATATAATTATTAACAGTTACACTCTCTCAACTGTGTTTGCGGCTGCAGGATCCTAGCAAGTTTACTGCTGTTGCTGCTGCACCTGTTGCAGCTGCTGGTTCTGGTGCTGCTCCTGCTGCTGCTAAGGAGGAGGAGAAGAAGGATGAACCTGCTGAGGAGTCGGATGATGACATGGGTTTCAGCTTGTTTGATTAAGTCGGTTGTTTGTGATGATACTCTTTTAATGCCAAAAAGATCTTTATCTCCTTTATGTTTTGAAGTATCTGAACAATATGTTAGTTTCAGCTATTAATTTTGATGATATAAGTTTTGGACCATATGCTGCTTGATCAGTTCGTTGATTCTTATATTAGTAGCGCATCTAGTTTATTATTTATTGCTTTTGAATATTATGGTTGCTTATTTTAATGCTGTTGTTTCTAGAACTGAAACCTTTTTACCTGCAAGACAAAAGATTATGCAATCCCTCTGCTATTTTATGTGACGGGATTTACTGTTTGGGGAGTAAATATTTTTCTTTGTTGACTATGATTTTCTACAAACTTGTAAATATGTGGAATCATTAGTTATGGTAACTTGTTAATTGATGTGTTTATTTAAAAATTGTAGATAATCCACATCTGAATTTGCATAGAAAATTAGGTGTTTTGATCTTTGTACTCTGTACTCGCATAATGTGAACATCTTTGCAAAAATTGGTACACAGGGAGTTTGCTATTTCCTTTTCTGCACAAGTTCCTTTTGAAGGTATGGGCTATCGTAAATGTGTTTTCCACAAGGCACAACTCTCTATGTAGAAATGTTGTTGAATGGATCTTATGATCGACTTTTTACATTCCCTCATTTCTTCTCTGTTCTTACTTGGGCCGTATCCACTTTCCTTGTTAAAAGCCTTCTAAATGTTGAATCAAATAACTAAGACATGGCATTATAGGAATATTTTGTGATAATTCTAAGTCAGATTTGTTATAAAATAAAAGTAATGCAGTAAAATGTAAATAAGAAAAGATAGAAAGAAGGGAGAAATGTTTTCTTATTTCACTTTGGTGTCTTTTTTTCATTGCAATTACATGACCTTTTATAGGCATAAAAAGTAAAGACATGGACATGGAGTAGGAAATTTAATCTTTAAGTTATTCACAACATGAGCATCCAATGTAGCATTCAATGTAGTATCCAAAGTAGTATCCAATGTACAAACTATTCATAACACTCCCCCTTGGATGTCCATGTAAGATAATGTGCCTCTTAAAAACTTACAAAAAAAAATATTGGGGTGTACATTGTTATTTATAATATGCATTGTTTGCTGCCTCATTAAAAACCTTACCAGGAAAACCCAGTGGGACAAAACCTTGGTTAAGGAAAAGAGTGTAGCGTGTAGTTACTCCCCCTGATGAATAATCACTTAATGTCTTGAAGACGACGCATTCCAATTTTATATATCAGCTTTTCAAATATTGAGGTTGGTAACGCTTTAGTGAACAGATCAGCCAAATTATCACTTGAACGAACTTGTTGTACATCTATTTCACCATTCTTCTGAAGATCATGAGTGAAAAAGAATTTCGGTGAAATGTGTTTTGTTCTATCTCCTTTGATATATCCTCCTTTCAATTGAGCTATGCATGCAACATTGTCTTCATACAATATTGTTGGAATATTCTCTTTCGAAGAAAGACCACATGTTTGCTGAATGTGTTGAGTTATAGATCTTAACCAAACGCATTCTCGACTTGCTTCGTGAATGGCTATTATCTCTGCATGATTTGAAGAAGTAGCAACCATAGTTTGTTTTGTCGAACGCCATGATATGGTTGTACCTCCACTTGTAAATAAATAGCCTATCTGAGATCGACCTTTGTGTGGATCAGACAAATATCCTGCATCTGCATAACCAATCAATGATGCTTGGATTCATTTGAATAAAATAAACCCATATCAATGGTCCCTTGGAGGTATCTGAATATATGTTTAATACCATTCCAGTGTCTTTGTGTTGGCGAAGTACTAAATCTTGCCAATAAGCTTACTGAGAAAGCTATATCTGGTCGGGAATTATTGGCAAGATACATTAATGCCCCAATTGCACTAAGATATGGTACTTCGGCACCAAGAAGCTCTTCATCATTTTCATGAGGTCGGAATGGATCTTTCTTTATATCAAGTGATCTCACAACCATCGGGTTACG